ATAAAAATTTTTAAGATCCTTTTAAAACATTTAAAAGGATCATGTACTACTATAATATTCTGATTTTCTTATCTAATCTTAAATATATTTATGGCATTGTATTTATTTTAATTATATTTTAATAATTCAATATAAGGATACTACAAAATATCCTTATATATTAGAAACATTTTTGAATTTTTTAAAAATGTCATATGTTTCTTTCTTGCATTCCATTTTAGAACTCTCCAACCTGATAAAAAAAGATCTCTGCATATCAAAAACATACTTATAAATGCTTACTGGAAGTAATTCAAAGTTCTCCTGTGGTGATTTCTGTTTTGTATTATATTCTGCAGACTCCAAGAATTAAAACTGTTAAACATTTTAATTTATTAGATGTTTTAACTACTATTTTTCACTTTTATTTTTAGTGTCTCAACTTAAAATACAGTATATTTATTAGGTGACTGCAATATTGATCTTTCTAAATCAGATAATTTCTTTAAATAAATCAAATCAATACTTTAGATCTGGGAAGTCTCTGTTTGTAGCATTATCTAATTATAGCAGCTGTTCTGGATTTTCCAACTAGAGTAAATGAAGACCAGGAATCTCTGCTGGACTATGTATTAAATTTAGTAGTTCTGTGGAGATTGAATTTGAGGTTGTATAAGTCAGACCCTCTGAGTGATCATTTGCCTATTGTATGCTTTGTACCAGATAAAGATCATTTTAGACAAACACACTTTAATTCTCTTGGAAGAAAACAGAATATGATTTGACTATTTAAATTTCACAATGCACTTACTACTTAATTACTTGAAATGACATGTATTATACAAAAGTTGTTAACTTGGCAATTGATTACTTTTACAACCTATTACTGTATTTTTATTAATAAGTATATGCCTTATATTTATAATACCTATCAAAAAAGAGACAGTAATCTAGAACATAATCCTAAATCTCTCTTATCCTCTGATACACAGAAGCAATTTAAATACAAAACAAAACCAGATTTAAACTTATAACAGAAACAGTTATTTATTGTGACATCATCACAATACTGGGCTGCAATTTTTAATCATATTTTTAATTTATTTCATTTAAAATATATGCTCTCTACCTCAAAATAGTACTGTAGTGTCTTGCTCCTGTACATCATACTTTTCCGTTAGCAATCGAGTTGTGCCAGTCATCTATCTAACTCCTTTCGGGGGAAAATATTTTAATTAAAATAATATGGTTTCCAGTTTGCATCAGAAATCCATATACAGTTAATTGGGGCCTCCTGTCCCTAAGCTTTCCATATCTGGTTTTAAATTTTATTTAACTAACACTGTTCTTCAGATTAAGGAAAAACAGGTGGACAGATGGACAACAGTGGAAATTTATAGGTCTACAATTTTTTCAAATTGCAGCTCGATTATTTTCCAAACTATTATGTTGTTCGGAAAGTAATTTCGGCTTTTTTACCACTAGATGGATTAGTCGTATTTTTTCCACCATTTTCATTCTAAACCATATTATCATTATATATTTTGACAGCTAGCATTTTAAGGCTTATTTGTAAAAAATTTTGTTTGATTTCATGTGATTGTTTATTTTTTGTGTCCCATCAAATATGGAAGATCGAAAGCAGCATTTTTGGCATATTTTGCTCTTTTATTACCGAAAAGGTAAGAATGCTGTTCAAGCGAGAAAAAAATTGTGTGACATGTATGGACAAGATGTATTGACAGAACAACAGTGCCAAAACTGGTTTACAAAATTTTTTCTGGCAATTTCAATATTGAAGATGCACCACGTTCTGGATGGCCAGTTGAAGCCAATGAAAACAAAATAAAGGTACTGATTGAAGCAAACTGCCAAATAACAACACGTGAAATCATTAAGAGATTAAATTTGTCAAATTGAACTGTCTATGATTACTTGAAACAAATTGGTTTCCTTTCAAAGCTTGATATAGGGGTTCCACATGTTCTTAAAGAGAGATGTTCTCTTTGGTGGGATTTTAAGGAAATTTTTTTTTGGAGTTTTTACCAGACAATTTAACAATTGATTTGAAAGTGTAAAAAAAAATTGAATCAAGTAAACAAATTGAGTAATATCATCAAACAGAAAAGGGGGCCAGAATTGATCAACAAAACAGGTGTAGTGTTTTACCACGATAATGTCAAATTTCACACAAGTTTGGTAACTTGTCAGAAACTGTTATAACTTAGATGGGAAGTGCTATCACATCAACCATATTTGCCAGATTGAGCACACTCAGATTATTACTTGTTCCAGTCTATACAAATTTTTTTTTTAACTGTAAGACATTTACTTGAAATGACAATGTCAAAAATCACTTGGATCAGTTTTTTGTAAGCAACGATCAAAACTTTTATGAATGTGAAATCGTGCTACTATCAGAAATGATGACAACAGGTATTTGACCAAAATGGTTGATATATAATTCAATAAAATATTTATTTATTATAAAAATATTGTTTTTTTTCCCCACAGAAAAAAACGAAATTACTTTCCAAACAACCAATAAAAACTTGTAAATCTGTATAAGCAACAAATTAAAGAAGAAATTAATGAAATTTACTTAATCTATTAGAAAGCAAATGATAATAGATAAGGAAAGATATTACAATAAAAAAATTTAGTGATGTAAAAACATAAAATCTTTTTTGGACAACAGTTTGTAGGCTTCCTTATAATGTTGTTAATAATAGTAATAAGGGACATATAAATAAAACTGTTTTCAGGGATGTTGTTGCCAAGTTATTTGCTGAAATTTCCAATGCTTATATTTTAATTCTTTTGTGGTGCCCACTAAACCATTGATGGTGTATCATCTTAACTACATTATTTAAATAGCAGATATAATCACATTTCCATTATCCTACCTCTTATTAAATACTCTAAAGGTCAGACTATTTTTCAGACTTTGCATAACTATTTAGAAATACTTGTCCATAAAAGAGGAAACAACTCATATAGGCAACTATTGCCCTGCTGTGATAAACCCCACTATTACAAAGTTATTTGGAAAAGTTTTTTTATAACTGCTTCAGCTTTTTCATTAAAAAATGTTCTACTTCACATGCACTGGGCTTTTTATTACTATATTTTTGATTACTAATTTAGATAACCTTTTGTTTAATCTCATTGTTTCAGTTGACTTATCAAAGAATTTTGATACAATAGATCTAGTTATTTTGAGACAGAAGCTTTATTGACATGGACTCAGATAATGCATTCAGCTGGTTGATCTAATATTAACACAATAGAAAATATTTTGTTCTAATTGATTCTTTGCTGTCTCCCTCTGTGAAACTACCTATGGACTTCCTCTGAGATCTGTGCTAGCCTCCTGTTATAAAACTTACTTATTAATAGCATATTTGATCATGTTCCACAATTTTTAATTCTATATGCAGATGATATTATTGTTAATCTTACTTATTCTGACCTAAACTTTTTAATACTTGAAATGAATGTGACTTTGTCTACAGTGTCTAATTATTTTTTAACTAATTGTTTATGTATAAACACTAATAAAGTAGTTATATCCTGTTTTGGAATAAAAATACAAGTGATATACTGATTTATATTGGAATAGTTAATATATCTTGTACCAATAATATAAAATACTGATTGTTTTTGTTGAGAGTTATGCAAATGAAGACAATACCCAAAACCAGCACAAATTAATTCAAAATAGTACTTTTACTACTATTTTCATCTGTTTGTAACAGACATCTTCAGATAAAATACATTGAATACAGAACTTTCAATTCACATAAAGGTGTGAAATTTCAAATTCACAGAAACCTGTAAATGGGGAGACAGTACTTAAAACCAATAAATAAATAGCTTTTAATATCAAAACAAACATAAGTGATCTGCCCAACTGTTTTGTATTTAGATCTTGATGAATTTATTGTTGTTGTTTCAAGGACAATGGTAGGAATAAAATACAGTATTTTGTTGCAAAAAGAAATTCACTGGCAATTGGTAATTTAAAATTTATTGATTCAAGTGCTTTTAAAGTTTGGGAACAAAAAAAAAAATGCAATATAACGAGGGCTACTGTACTAGCAATTACATTTATTAGCAAATATGTTTACAATCAGTAGGATAAAATCTGTAATCTATAGTTGTCGTAATTCTTATAAATGTACTGCTTATAATTTATAATAATTTATAAATAACTCTTATTGCCAAAATGTAAATTATCCATTGGACAAAAATCAGTTATATTTAATAGCATTTAAAATTTGGAATCTTTTGAAAATAAATTAAAAGGTATACCAACCTTGAAAAACTTAGAAATTAAATTAGAAAAGCTTAATAAATTATATAATATACTAACTTCCAGTCCAGACTGGAATATTGTTAATTGGGTCCTTGGGTCCTAAGCTTACCATATCTGGTCTTGCTTTTCATCTATCTAACTGTTCTTAAGATTAATGGACAGACAAAGACAGATGACAATGGGAATCGATATGTCTCTCTAAACAGTGAGAATGTATAGGAATTATTTACTGGGCTGCAATTTGAAGCCCAGTAAATAAAATGAAATCATTAATTATGTTTTTCATTAATATAAAAGAACTAATATTGAGAAAAATGCATGTGATATGAGAAACTCAAACACAAGTTATCAGACATCTTCTTGTTTACATATCTTGATATGTAAGCAGGAAAACAGAGTAGAATTTTATTCATTTAAAAACAGTTTTATTTTAATTACTGAAAGAAGGATCTGAGATAAAGAGTAATGGAGAGATAAAGCATTGAAAACTACTGCACAACTACATTAAAATGAATGGCACTATCTTTAACAAACAAGTATGCATTGTGAGTGAAACAAAGTAAATGAGATTGGAATCTATGACCCATCTAATTGAAATTCTCACATGTTCCACTCTGGTTGCACTTGTGATTAGAATGTTTTGTTCTCATAAATATTGGTTTGTGCTTGTTATATCAAATTCTTTGTCTCATAAATTTGGAAGAGGAATAAAATCATTCTTCCAAAAGTATCATAAACAAAAAGTATATTAAAATATGTATATAATTGACAAAAATTTAGTTATTAATAATGTAATTTTTTAATCAGAATCTTCAAGTAGCAGTTAATTTGTAGTGAAAAGTTCAATGTCATGTTTGGTGAGTAACTTTTTAAGCTTTGCCAAATTTATTGACCCTGTAAGTGTAATTAAAACTTTGTTAAAAATTTCCATCAGCCCGATTGTAGTTGCTCAAGAATTGATCAGGAGACTGATTCTGTTGAAGAACCTATTGCTAATGACGAATCCTCCTACCAACCATTGGTAGATAATAGTATAACTTATCTTTTCTTTTTTGCTATCTTATATAAATTAAAATACTTCTTAAAGAAATTAATATTATAGATTCTTTATATCTTCAATAAATATTTTAGTCTGAGGTATCTTATTTGTCTGAGGCTATTCCTCTGCTACCAAAAGATTCTGCAATGATCAGATATGGAGCTGATCCTTCTCATTATCAACTAATAGCAGTAATTGGTAAATCATATTTCTATGTAAAAGATATTTAAATTCCTGATTATACATTAACTTACATTTTTTTATTATTTTGTTTTAAGGAAAAGGTTTAAAGGAAGCAGCTACCATATCATTAGCTAGGCATTTACCATCGGGTCGTCATGTAACTGTTCGGAGGACAAATTTAGATTTGTGTTCTGATGATATTGCATATATTCAGGTAATTATTTCAGATATACTAATTTGGACATTCTTTAAATTTATAATATCTATTATAAAAGCAACAATATTAAAATTGGTTCTATTTAATTGTCTAATAGCAATTACTTTTACTTTAATGCTTAAAAAAGAATATATTATTAATGTTCTTTCTTATTCTTCATACAAAAGATATATGACAATAAATAAATAACTAAATGCTTAGTGGAATTATTGAATAAAAATAAAACAAACACCTTTCTCTATTCCAGCACACTTTTAATGCGTTGAATAACGATCGAAAACGTTATTCAACGCATTAAAAGTGTGCTGGAATAGAGAAAGGTGTTTGTTTTATTTTTATATATGACAATGCCTAATGAGTAAAATAAACCACCCCCAAAATTAACAATGAGCAAGAATTCCATATATTTGGTGATAACAAAGTGGAACTCTTGTTTCCACTTGTCATAGTTATACTCTATATGTATACATATTATTTTCGTGGCTATTATATCATAGAGGGAAAGCATGGAGTTTGGTCCAAAAATTATCCCTTCAAGAATTTTATATTTTTCAGTTTGGGACCTTGAAATCTCTAGAAATGCAAAAACAGTTTGGGGTTTTTTCTTCATATATGGATGTGGGGGGCATGATTTTTTTCACCCACTTTGAATCTTAATAATTCCTGTGCCTTTTGTTGAAGTTTTCTGAAAGTTTGCATAGATGTTTGTTTCTAGAAATTTTCTGGAAAAATCAACCATTGGTTCAGGAAATATGACCCCAGTTCCTTAATATCTCAAAATGCTACCATTTATGAAATTTTTTTACTTGCACAAATTTTTAGTTTGCCAAAAAACAACTGTTTTGAAAATTTTTAAAAAATTACCCACATTTCTAATACTAATATTTTTTTGATGGTTTTTTTTTAATATAAATTTTCATAAAATAATCCAATTGAGTTCTAACTTTTTTCAATATGTATATGGGGGGTGCAAAAGTAGGTAGGCAGGTCTGTTTTTAGGTGTGGGCCTCCAGCCATTGGGAGCTCCTAAATTTTGAGACCTCGAAAATATGCAAAATTGAATAGAACAACAAGTAATAAAATTATTATAAACAGTAAACAATCAAAAGATATGTCTGATAAATTTTATTAAAGATAAATATAACAATATGTTTAGCAGAGAAATCTAATTGAAAAAATTTATGAACATTAACCCTCCATTACGAATTCCTTAAGGGGGCCTCCAAGCTTTTCTTGGCCCAGAGCCTTGCATGTACCAAAGATGGGCACGAAAGTAGGTATACAGTTGAGAATTTGAGAAATACAAATGTTTGGTGTTCATTATTATTATCTTTTATTAGTTCATATTCTTTATTTGTGATTTAATTTGTACGTAAAAATAAATGTTTTTTCTTCCTATTTTCTCCCTGTATGTTTTTTTCCATAACAACTGTATACCTACTTTTGCATCCCTCTTTATACTAGCAGATAAGCCTGATGTTGCTTGGGTAAAAAATAACAGCAGCAAAGATTATTAGATTATTTTGTACTTTTAACCCTTACATTATATATTATTTGATTTACGAGGGCTGTTCGAAAAGTTCGCGGCCTTGCCTATATGCGGCGCTGCGATCAATTTAATTTTTGGCGGGAATAATTCAGCCATCCTTGCTAAAGATAAGATACCAATTTCCGCTTGATTTGTCGTAAAGTTTTGCCACGACAGCTTAGCAGATAGTCAATGTGCACATGCTTTGTCAAAAATGGAGAAGACGGAGACTCGTGCGGTCATAAAATACCTGACGAAAAAAGGGTTGACCGCATCTCAAATCAAAGCTGACATGGATGAAGTTTTGGGAGAGTCTGCTCCTTCGTAAACCACTGTGAAAAAATGGACAGCCCTTTTTAAATCTGGCAGAGAGAGTGT